GAATTTTAAGGCGCATTTTCACATGGCTTTCATAGCACTGAAGCCGTATGCAAATGAATCCTTGCCCGTCCTATTTAATATAAATTACACCACGCTTGCCCGTCCATTAATATAAATTACACTACGCTTGCCCGTATTTCGGAGTCAAGTAAAGCTAGGCTTGACACTTAGAAAATTTTTGGGTGATCGAAAAAATTTTTTCGTCATAGACCGACTTAGAAAGGTTCAAAACGCATATTAACGGAGATAGGTTTGGCTCAGGGGAATTTTAAAGCGCATTTTCACATGGCTATCATAGCACTGAGCCGTATGCAAATCAATCCTTGCCCGTCGCGATTACTATAAATTACACTACGCTTGCCCGTCCATTAATATAAATTACACTACGCTTGCCCGTTGCCCGGATTTCTGAGTCAAATAATTTTTTGGCTGATCGAAAAAATTTTTTCGTCATAGACCGACTTAGAAAGGTTCAAAACGCATATTAACGGAGATAGGTTTGGCTCAGGGGAATTTTAAAGCACATTTTCACATGGCTATCATAGCACTGAGCCGTATGCAAATCAATCCTTGCCCGTCGCGATTACTATAAATTACACTACGCTTGCCCGTCCATTAATATAAATTACACTACGCTTGCCCGTTGCCCGGATTTCTGAGTCAAATAAATTTTTGGCGCATCGAAAAAAATTTTTCGTCATAGATCGACTTAGAAAGGTTCAAAACGCATATTAACGGAGATAGGTTTGGCTCATGGGAATTATAAAGCCCATTTTCACATGGCTATCATAGCACTGAGCTGTATGCAAATGATTCCTTGCCCGTCCTAGTCAATATAAATTGTACTACGCTCGCCCGCGGGATTTCGGAGTCAAGTAAAGCTAGGCTTGACACTTAGAAAATTTTTGGCTGATCGAAAAATTTTTTTCGTCATAGACCGACTTAGAAAGGTTCAAAACGCATATTAACGGAGACAGGTTTGGCTCAGGGGAATTTTAAAGAACATTTTCACATGGCTATCATAGCACTGAGCCGTATGCAAATCAATCCTTGCCCGTCCCGATTACTATAAATTACACTACGCTTGCCCGTCCATTAATATAAATTACACTACGCTTGCCCGTTGCCCGGATTTCTGAGTGAAATAAATTTTTGGCTGACCGAAAAAATTTTTTCGTCATAGACCAACTTAGAAAGGTTCAAAACGCATATTAACGGAGATAGGTTTGGCTCAGGGGAATTTTAAAGCACATTTTCACATGGCTATCATAGCACTGAGCCGTATGCAAATGAATCCTTGCCCGTCCTATTTAATATAAATTACACTACGCTTGCCCGGATTTCGGAGTCAAGTAAAGCTAGGCTTGACACTTAGAAAATTTTTGGGTGATCGAAAAAATTTTTTCGTCACAGACCGACTTAGAAAGTTTCAAAACGCATATTAACGGAGATAGGTTTGGCTCAGGGGAATTTTAAAGCACATTTTCACATGGCTATCATAGCACTGAGCCGTATGCAAATCAATCCTTGCCCGTCGCGATTACTATAAATTACACTACGCCTACCCGTCCATTAATATAAATTACACTACGCTTGCCGGTTGCCCGGATTTCTGAGTCAAATAATTTTTTGGCTGACCGAAAAAAATTTTTCGTCATAGACCAACTTAGAAAGGTTCAAAACGCATATTAACGGAGATAGGTTTGGCTCGGGGGAATTTTAAAGCACATTTTCACATGGCTATCATAGCACTGAGCCGTATGCAAATGATTCCTTGCCCGTCCCGATTACTATAAATTACACTACGCTTGCCCGTCCATTAATATAAATTACACTACGCTTGCCCGTTGCCCGGATTTCGGAGCCAAATAAATTTTTGGCTGAGCCTTTCACGAGCCCTATGATGCAAAGTACCGCCAAAATTAGCTATACCAATTTTCGGATGACGTTGTCAAAAACGTCTCACTATTACTGTACCATCATGCAGTTTGGACGCATGTCCAGGGGGGACTGCTTCTGTTTAGGGTACTTGCTGAGTGACGAATCATGACGAATGTAACGCTTACGCAAAAAACAATGGAGATGGACTTCTGTGTAGTATTCCGTCGTTGAACGAAACCTCGCAAGCGTGGCAATATGTTTTCAGATTAGCCGTTTTTATGAGCCGTACTGAGCCCAGCTGGGGGAGTTTGACTAATGGTCGAGGGTAAAATGTCGAGGGTTGGGAAAAAATGTCGAGGGTCTGAAGAATATCAAAAAAATACTTTTAAAATTTGGTATTCTATTTAATAGTCCGAAAATTTTTTTTCGCCTGCGTTTGATTTACACACGAGTAAAACTCAAATTAGCCATCCGAAGTTGATGAGTGGACTGGGGACGAGTGTTAAAAAGTGTCCAAATTAAGAAATGAACCAAATCACTAAAAAGACCACCTCAAAATTAGTAAGTATACAAAGTTTGAAGACGTTTGCATGAATATCCTTCGAATAATAAGCTTTCAAAAATTATGAAATTACTGATTAAAAGATTGTTTTTGGGACGCGCGTTCCAAAAACAAAAATCACAGTGCATTTCATAGTAAATATCTCGAAAGCTTATTATTCAAAGGATATTCCTGTAAAGGTCTTCAAGCTTTGTATACTTACTAATTTTGAGGTGGTCTTTTTAGTGATTTGGTTCATTTCTTAAATTGGGCACTTTTTAACACTCGTCCCCAGTCCACTCATCAACTTCGGAATGGCTAATTGTAAGCAGACTAAGCAGGTTGCATGCGACAGTTTTAGGAAAACGTAGTGTAGTGTAAGAAGGCGGATTTACACTACACAACGTTTGCTAAAACTGCAGCATGCAACCTGCATCACAATTCGCCTATGTTGTCATATATCATCACCTCACTATCTGGTGAAGCTAGAAACGTTTGCATGCGTTTGAGTCTAAAACCAATAGTTTTCATACAACAGTATTTGCTACAAATGTGTAAATTAGAGATGAAGGACTTCAAAAAATTTTACAAACTCCAGTGATGAGTTAACCAAAACAAGACGAAATATTTGCCATTAGGCATTATTTAAATGTTACATTAAATAACGAATTTACCTCATTTTTGGAAAGACCAGGTTCTTCAAAATGGTGATAGTGGTAAATTGAAAGAATATAAGAAACTTAAAGTAAATGTGGGTATTGAAAAATACCTTTTAGAAATTAAAAATTTTAAGTACCGTCAAGCAGTTACAAGATTACGAGTTTCAGCGCACAGATTACCAGTAGAAACTGGCCTATATAAAAAAATTGCCTACTGTGATAGAAAATGTAAACTTTGTGATCAGGGTGAAGTTTGAAATGAACAACATTACCTAATGTCATGTGGTAACACAGTGTTTACATTTTTACGACAGAATTTTATTAATTCTGTTTATAAAATTAACCAATCATTTAAATATTTTGATACACAAAGTTTGTACCATTATATACTAAGTATGAAAGATAGAAATGTTCTGAAATTATCTTCAAAATATTGCTACGATATACTAAGAACTTTTGACATATTGCATGAGTTAGCCTGAACAAATTATTTGTAAGTTTATATACTGTTTATTTTTTGCAACTAATGTATATGTATAGGTATTCAATGTACCAATATTGGTATTTGTTTGAATAAAGTTTCTTTCTTGTGATCTCTTGGGCAACATGTGTGTAACAAGCCATCAACTTTGATACGTAATGAAATCTGAGAATCGTAAGATCAAGGTTTTGCAAACTAAACTCTCTAAACTTTTAGTCTCTCAGATTGACCTCTATGCCAACCCTAACCTTACTATGTCTATAGGCTTGAAACACGAGAGCTCACTTAATTAAACCATCCGCGCTTCAACAACTTTCCGCGTCTTAATCGTAATTCTATTTCGGCTCTATACTCAGAAATATAAGCCCGTAAGTAAAGGAAACAACAGGTGTTCAGACAATAACATGATCTATAAATATACAATGACTGATACACGACCAGAATAATTCATATTAAGTTAAGAAACCAATTCGGGAAATTCACGACAGGAAGTTAGAAACCGAAAGTAAATTGATAGAAATAAAAGCCACATAAAGCTCGGGTGTAGAAGCAAGTCAGACAGCACTTAAAGTTGTCCATTTTATAAAGTGTGCGTTTACATTGTCATGGAGAAATATTGCGTCTCTTGTCACATGAAGGTAATATTTTGAAGGAGAAACGATTTAAGGAATTTTATAAAGTTGACTAATAGAAGTTTGACAGAAGTCAGTCTTGTAGGTTCGATTCCCACCGTGGTCAGGCATATTTTTCAAGCTTGCCCGGTGTGGATATACACTCAGAGTAAAATCACAAGCATCATAGTCACCTGATTACATTCACACCAACACAGAAAAGAAGTTAGTCTGTTAGAAACATGGAATGAGTATAGTTTCATTTTATAAACTAGGCATCAACATTTGATACGTCAAATGAAATCTGAGAATCGTAAGGTTTTGCAAGTTCTAGATTTTTAGTCTTTCAGAGCAGTTCAGGATTTAATTGACTATGCTGTAATAAGGCTCTGGCGCGCTCTGTCCAACTGGCAGTGAGTTATTGTAATAAGAGTATGGAGCTCTAGTTCACCTCTCCTTGTTTTCTTTAATAATAACGCGTGATTTGAACATCCACAACGTTCTAACAAGGAAACTGAGTACTGGCTGAACGCTCAATGCAACCTGTTCTAGAAGTATTGGCGAAGCGTTGATATTCTTCACAGTATAAGACTGCAAAGATTCAATTTCAGCAATATACTTCACAGGTCTTATTCAACAGAATTATCAAATAAAACAGCTCCGCTGTTTTGCAGCTTTGCGTGAGCCCCTCGATGAGCGCTTTTCCGCTCTTGGGTAAACGCTAAGATTAAATAAATACGTTTATACAATGTTCCTCAATAAAATACAAAACACGTGTAACTCCAAAGATCGATACGATAAAAAAAATACGCAGTGGTTCTAAAAATTTTAGGTTTATGTTTCTCAAAGTTCTGTTTGATCACCCATTCCATGTAGTTAGCATAAGTTTATCAAGTGACACTAATAATATTTTTTCTGTCTTAGATTGAAGAGAACAGTTATGCCTGCAAGTGTGGACATGTTCATGAGACTGAGAGAAAGTGGATCAGAGGCAAAAGATATTCAGGTAGGAAGTCAATTACAATCACAGAATGCCTCGAGCCAAAACGTGATTTAGAAAATCCAATGAGTCATTCCAGAAATGACCCCCACTCCCCCAATTGAAGAAATTTCTCCAATCTGGTTGAATTGTCTGGCCATCTGGGGTCATGGTCCCCCACAATTTTTTTCTATTTTTAGGGTCTGTGAAATACCATTTTCACACATTTTGTGATGATTTGTGTGTGTGTGTGTGGGGGGGATGGGGTCCGACCCATGGCTACTGGCTTATGCCTCTGCTCACAATTTCTTCTGTGGGTATGGATGTTTTCTGGAATGACCAACTGGATAATGGCATAATTACAAGATGTCAAATGGGGGAGGGGACTTAACTTCCTAATTTATGACCATGAAAGGTATGGATGTTTTCAGTGGATTATGACCAATTCAATTTCAATTTGACTCCATTGCAGTTTACAGAGAAGAACTTTACTCCAAACTGACAGTGCAAGAATTACAACAGAAGTACAAGACACCAAAAACCAAATCTGGAATGCAGGTGAGAATATTTGGTAAATCAAATCTGGATGGTCTAATTAAAACTTCCAGTGTAAATTATTGCCTCAAAAGGTTAGGAATTAACCTGCTCTGTTAACTGTTTGACTAAAAGATTACTCCATATACACAGGATTTTTCACCAGGGGGGGGCAGAAATACCTACATGCCAAAATAATTAGTACCCAATTATGAACAAGATTATTAAGCACCATTTGGCTTTTTGATGTATAAGATATGATAAAATTAATAAGTTAAATTGTCCTGATACGGGGAGGGGGGGAGAGGGCCGGTTGGGTGTGAGAAAGTCATTTTTCAAAGCATTACTCAATTTGAGTCATGCAAATCTAAAATCCCAAGCAGGGGCGAAACTTGAGAGGGTTATGGGGGGGGGGGGTGACCCCCCAAAATACAAATCATTTGGATTGGCATGGCAATTAAAGATTTTAAATGATAGAATGTAGAGTTATTAAGTAACTTACAGGGTTTTCAGAGGGAATTGAATAGAATTTATAGACCTAAATTTTACAGATATTGGTCTAAAAATAAGGGTTTCACACATGTTTTTTAACAGGAATGTGTACGGAAAAATTTGTTTTACCCTTAATTTAACTGGTTTATGTCTGGAAAAAATTTTCGACCCTTTTTTTTTAATGCCCGGGAAAATTTGCCTCAAGGTATGTCACTCTTTTGGCTTTTTCAAGCCTGTATGGAGTGGGTCTTAGTAGCTACATGGATAATAAAATAAATTTATTTTATTATCCATGGTAGGTAAAAGCATTGTTTTGACATTTTGCATCAGAACTGCAATATGGATGTGGCTCCTGAGTGCCAACATAGTCACTGATAGGAATAGTAAACACTAAACAGGCTCACATTTCACTTTTTTTTTAAACACACAAAGAAACACGGGAACCATTTTACATTTTTAGTCACATGTGGTTTTAAAGAAAGCGGCAGTCTTTTTTTGAGGAAATTGCCGAATGTTTACGCGGGAATAAAAGCTACAGCGTGTCAAATACACATGAATTCTATAGAAATATACAGCTCTTTCATCAAAATCTTTCAACCAGACACGCGGTAAAAATGATGACGTCAAAAACAATACCAAAATATTTTCTATTCAAGCTTCTGTCTACTATAACTAAATAAACACGTTAAAAAACTCACCAAATAATAGTTTTACACCCAAACAATACTTTTATGCTTCTTCTTTTGCAGACACACAAAATATCTCCCAAAAAACGAACAAGAAAGTCAAAATTTGTGAAGTTACCAAAAAGACGCAAAAACCAATATGGCGGCAAGCCAAGACACGTCTACGATACGTCAGCGGATGCAGGTCATTCTCATAAAAATTCTGAGAAATTTGGAGATAATTCTGAAAATTTCTGCCCAACAAGATGGAACTTTGAATTCGCTTTAGAAGATATAAACAGACGATTTTTGAAGCAAAGTTTATTTTGGATTAGATTATAGAAAGGCGAGATTATATTCTAAAAAATGTCCAAGAGATTGGGGCCAGAAAACGGTTCATTCATGTGTTGAAAAACAGAGCCGTTTAGCCGAGTGTTTTTAATAGCAACACCGAAAATGGGTGCAGTTATCAGAACGACAAAAGAACTATGTTAAAGCTTCATTATGTGTAGTAGTCTTGTATAGTTTAAAGCAAACTGAATAAAGTTGAGAGATTCAGTTTAATTACATGTAGCCTTTCTCACGATGACGAATATCCGCCATTTTTGGGTGGCATCTAATTCTCGTCACCAATGCAGACAATTAAAACAATATGAAAAGCAATTTTTCAAAATAAACTAACCATTTACAAAGTAAATTTACCATCATTCGTCAAAAAAATTATAAAAAGTCGCTGTTATGTGGACTTGTCTCGCAGACTTCGGCTGAAATGCCACCCAAAAATGGCGGCATGAGAAAGGCTAATTTGTTCGCTTCATTTCAATATCGGTAAACATTTCCAAGGTATGTAACGTTTACTTGGAAATAAGGATGGATATTGAGCTATGTTTGTATAAATATAGTTTAAACCTGTCATAGGCGTCGAAAGATCGATAAGGTGGGGACCATACTCATATATTCGTGTTCTGCATTATTAATTTATTTAGCTTTTCTTTTGAAATCGATTGTTTTTAAGGTCTGTGAACACGAATATATGAATATGGTCCCCCCACTTATCGATCTTTCGACGCCTATGAAACCTGTCACGTTTTAGGGGGAGTTACTACTGTTTAGACTTCTGTAATTTTGTATTCTTTTGTATTTTAAACTTAACCCTAAACCTAACCCTTACAGGCTTACTCTAATACTGACCCTAATCTTAAATTAATCCTTTCCCTAATATACTAGAACTGTCTGTACCAGTGTAGGTAGTACCAATGTAAAAATGCTGTGCTGAGTGGTTATATTACTACCTTAAAAAATAAGCAGAAACTCGACGTTTCGAGCGAAGGCCCTTCGTCAAGAGTTAGTAGCCCTAATACTAACTCTAAAAGTCTAAAAATAGTAACTCCCCCTAAAACGTGACTCAGTTTGCCTTCAATGGTTTTACCCACATCTGTTGCTTGGTAACGCTTACAAAAAAACAAAAAAATCAAAATTATACAATTGATACGAAGGATTCAATTAAACTCAAGTATATAGATAATTTTACTTTGGTATATACAGTATTTTATTATTAAAATAGGTTGAAATACGAGTACAAAGTATTCTACAAAGAATGTAGGCCAGAATTTTAGGTACACTGGTATATTAAAGCCAGTATTACCGTGTATATTGATATTGTAGTAACATTAATCAGCGTTTTTAACGACTTTTATTGTACACCACTTTGTTATCTTTTGTGTACGCAGGGATTAACTTTGACACCGAAATATCAAACCTGCTTTGTTATGTTCGGGCTTGTCGCCTCTCTATGAGAGCGGCGTTTGTCTCGAAAGAATGTGGGAATAATTAGCGAAAAAAATCAGTTGTGGTTTGTTGTCTATTTTAATAACACATTGTTTTGTGAGTGGGACGTTTTCTATACAAACACATAAATCTTACACATCCATGCACATGAGTTTTGAATCCTTTGAAGCGAACCGTTTCGGCTTGAAGATTGAATGAAGGTGTTTCCTTCCAAAACGGGTTTTTGGATAGTAGTCACTGTATATGTGCCTTTCACGGTTTCACCTCTGTCCGATTCATATAAAACAGAGTTGTCTGATTATATTTCACCTCAGTTGCAAGAATACTCAGAATTGATAGAACTATCCAGAATCAGGCAGAATAAAGGCCCATAGAGACCGGACGTGATTTGGCAACGCGACGCGAATTTTCAGTTTTCAATGACATTTTTTTTAATGTTTTTGAAATATTCAGAACCACTGAAGCAAATTTAGCTATTTGTTCTGCATATCTTGTAAAATTTTTATCCGTTGACGGTTTTATTTGTTTTTAAAAACTGAAAATTCTCGTCGCGTTGTCGAATCGCGTCCGGTCTGTGTGGGCCTTAATAGTTTAGTTTAGGTTTCCTCCTGTAGTAACACTGGGTCAATAAGAGATGATCCTTACTGGACCTCTAGGAAGAACAATTTAGAACTGATAGAGCTATCCAGTATAAATAAAGTTAGTTTAGTTTAGGTTTCCTCGTGTAGTAAGACTGGGTCATTAATTAAGAGATGATCCTTACTGGACCTCTAGGGAGAACAGTTAGAACTGATAGAGCTATCCAGTATAGATAAAGTTAGTTTAGTTTAGGTTTCCTCCTGTAGTAACACTGGATCAATAAGAGATGATCCTTACTGGACCTCTACGAAGAACAGTTTAGAACTGATAGAGCTATCCAGTATAAATAAAGTTAGTTTAGTTTAGGTTTCCTCCTGTAGTAACACTGGATCACTAAGAGATGATCCTTACTGGACCTCTACGAAGAACAGTTTCGAACTGATACTGAACCCAGTATAAATAAAGTTAGTTTAGTTCATTTCAACATCCTCTTACGTTACTAAGGTCAATAGCTGAAAATCGTGGAATGGTCCAAGAAAATTGAAAATGCATGTTTATATAGAAAAGGTTCAAGTAAATCACTGAAAAGAACGCCACGTGAAGACGTCGAAATATTTTCTATATTACAGCTACATTATTACGTGCAATGATGCAATATATGCTAATTAATCTAATATTCACGAAAAGTTTCAATCTAGTTTCAAATATTTTCAATCTAGTTTCAAATTTCATAAACGACCAATGACGAACCGCCGGGAAACGAAATTTAATCCAAATTTACAAACGTCTGTTGAACAAATAATTGAATTGAATACAGTGACACAATAACAACTGCATAATAGCAACATATTAAATACTTCAAAAACCGTTTGCTGTCAATGAGCCTTTGGCCACATATGGTCCGCGAATCCGTTGTCTAGGATCATATATATATGTAAATTAATTCCAACCGCCTCTCATCGCAAACATCCACAACGACATCTCGACACAAAGGACGTGAGCAAACGAGCGACATTATTCATGCGTAGCGAAGGCTTAATGAGCGATGTTTTAAGGACAGTTTGGTTGGGTTACGGAGAAGAATAAGTGGAGATGCCATATAGTTATGTTCCTAGCTACTGTAGATTCTGGTTTGGAAACGAACAAAGGTATTAAGACTTGAGTATTATTTGTATATTTGGGTGCTTGAATTGATACTCTTTAGTCCGGCATGAAAATTCACACATTCTAGGTTTGAAATATTCGTTATACTTCAGCACAGAACACAATACGGAAACCAGTTTCGTATATCCTGTACTTTAAACGTGGTTTAGGCTCCTGGTCTCGCCCAACTTTGATCTCAAATTCGAAACGATTGATTTAATCACATAAATATATATTACCAACAAAAATGGGCAAACACTTCAGCCTCAAATCATCGCTAAATTCGAACACAAAACACAATATACAGCTCAGTTTAATGAAACACCAACTGTAAACATTCTAAACTATCGGGTTAGCTTTGCTAGCCTTCCTGTGACCTCAAATCTAAACACTACGGCTTGCTTTTAATGACATAATATCGTTGCCATATTGATTTAAATTGGATAACGAAAGCCTCGCACAGTGGTTGGCAATATGTTGCCAACACCCGCATGTATATCCCATAATTTCTCCTTAACATAAATTCGTAAGACAAAATATACTTCAATGCAGTTACTGCTAACTGCAAAGCGGTTATAGTAACAAAATATAACCGTCTCTAACTAAACTGTATGACACAATCTACTTCAAGTACGACCTATCAATCATTATATTTACACCGAACAGCTCGTGAGCTCTTTATATTGTACAATCCTAGAATTTTATACTCAGATTAATCCATTATGGCAATCCCTATTATAAGTTAGACTTAAGTTAGACTTATAATCCTTGTATATCTCAACTGTTTCTGTCCAATCCCATGCATAATTTGTTATGTGGTGCTGTTGCTATTATAATACATCTATCTAGTATTTATTCCGCATTTTTTGTTTGTAACTGGACACTCATAACCTCATTAGACATTACGCTTCAAGGCTTGCAGTAGTAGGGTCCCAACAAACGTTTCTACAAATTTCTCGCTAAAAAATCCAGACATGTTGTAGTTGTGTCAAACTAAATTCGCTGTCGCCTTATAATAATTAAAAAACTTAATTTATTTTCAATTTTATTCGCTTTCATTTCCCAAAATCCCCGCAACTTATGGAGTTCCACAGGGTTTCAAATAGGGCCCAGTTTGCTATTTTACAGCATCTCTTTGCAAGAAAACATACATAGGATGTATGGATTTGTCAAAACAGCTGCTTTTTGTCATTCTTTGTTTTAACAGAAGCATAAAATTTATGTAAATCCAATATGTAACGACAGAAATCGCTTGAAAACTTAGTCCAATAGCAAAAAGGGCTAATATAATGTTATGACAGTGTTGTGCTTTGCGGATGATTATTTATAACTTCGGCCAGGAAATCAAAGAGCAGGAAAAGAATAGTTATATACTAAGAAACACTCTTTGTTGTTTTTATTTCTTGTTTAATTTGTTAGTTATTTTGTGAACGTAGGCAGGTATAGAAACTTGAAATAACTTCCTATTCACCGTAGGAACAAAATTCACTACAAACAGAAAGTAGGTCTTCTATGATTTAAATATGACACGTGCTGCAACGCCAAAGACAACTGAACATCATCAAAAACAAAATCTTTAAAATTAAACTGTGTTTTAATTTGCATAGTAAATGACAATATAAATTGCATAAGCGCTTACATGAATTACAGTAATCCTTAAAAAACCTGGTTCTGTCGGAGATTTTTCTCCTGCCAAATATCGAATGAATGACATGCAAAAAACTTAGAATTGTTTACTTCTGAAAAATGACTCAATACTTTTGTGTGCGAGTGCACTATTAGGAGGGAGCTTAAGTATGTAGGACGGCAACACGACGACGACGGCAACCAATACAATGAGTCGATGAAAAGAAATAAATAATTAAAGTCCCAGGGGAGTTTCAGACGTGGTCGTCGTTCTGTTTACAACGGCAAATCACAGATTTTCACGTCTTTTATACAACGCCTGCATTTCAAGCCGTAACAAGTGCAACTTAAAATTCGGTCAATAGAACTCTTCCCAAACATAAAGCCAACGTTTTCAGTTTCTTATGCTGTATTAAATTCATACGAATTATAATATACGACAAGTTTTCTTTACTATCATTTATATGAAGGAATTTGTTTTGGCCGTCGTCGTCGTCCTACATGCTTAAGCTCGCTATTTGCATCCATGGACGCCGGAACGATGCGAAGGTAAGGGGGGCAGATTTTCGTGAAAGGGCACTTTTGAATTGATATATACTAAGAGACGTTTGCAAAACATCGGGAGTTGAACTTCGCCTAATCATGTTTTCTATTTATTGGATGATGGAGGTGTGAGGGGGTTCTCCGCCAGGCGATTATGCTATTCTTGAAGCTCGATGACTGCATTTCTTGCGTTTTCTGAAGCAAATTCGTAAAAGAATTGCACTAACATTTCTGACAATTCGCTATTTCGCCAAGGAAATCCTTTAAATTGAAAAGGCAACTTTGCCCCCCTTGCCCCTCGTGGTAAAGGGCAACGGGGGCGGCTGCCCCTCCTCCCCCCAGTTCCGGCGTCCCTGTTTGCATCCGTCAGAAACACAAAATCGCCGACAAAAATGCTAAGTGTGAACCAGGCTTAAAAAACTCTTTAATGATTTTGCATAATATATTTGTATAATATTTTTAATACGGCCTTATATTAAAGCCGCATTACTGGCGTTATCAAAGAGCCTCATTATCATTTGATTAACATTTGACGGTCGGCTCTGTCTTTTAATTAAGTTATTCTAAGCTAGGACGCGAAGAAATGCAATAATATCTGCTTGACTAAGCCGAGTGGAGTTTTGTTTGCATATTACCTCCGCAATCATAACTCAATCAATCAGTAGGATGCAGACTCCCAGCCGCGCTATAGTTAGGAAGACAAAGTTTCGTTCAAAAACTCTTTCGCTCGAAACGCCGAGATGTTTCGGGTTTTTTCAGGTATACCACCTATACTGAATTGCCACGTTTGAGATATCTTTTTCAGGTAGGTTCACACACAGACCACGGCAGCTTATTGTACAATATACTATTTACACTATAATAGACAATCACGTTTGATAGATCTTTTTCAGGTGGTTCAGACACAAACCACGGCAGATTATTGTAGAATACTACCTACACTGGACCACCACGTTTGAGATATCTTTTCAGGTAGTTCAGACACAAACGACGGCAGCTTATTGTATAATACTATATATCTACACTGAATCACCACGTTTGAGATATCTTTTTCAGGTATAGTTCAGATACAAACCACGGCAGCTTATTGTAGAATACTACCTACACTGGACCACCACGTTTGAGATATCTTTTCAGGTAGTTCAGACACAAACCACGGCAGCTTATTGTAGAAAACTACCTACACTGGACAATCACGTTTGACGGTAGCTTATCGCAGAATACTATCTACACTCAAGTGCTCAACCCACACGTTTGAGATATTATCTGTATAAACTATACTATTATCTTCTTTCCGGAGGAAATTGGAGCACGCTGAGAAAACCCACGATGTGATTGTCTCATGCTAATTATATATTTCACACACCAGACAGTAAGACCAAGATTTAGACTTGGGAACGTGATGCGTATAAGTATAGTTTTTCGCTTGGAATTTCCACTTGCACGAAAAGGTTTAAACATTGTGTTTGTCGAAAGAATCGCTTAAAATTTAGCATAATTAATAATCCCAGATCAGTATCTTTACACAGCTGCCTTGTGCAAAGAAACATCACCAATTTTCAGATTAAGTTTCTCGTATTGCGACAGACATATCCGCAAGTAGGAATAGGATGTGTAAACATGTCACTAAAACCCACGCTAAAATTCATATTTTCACTTAATTTTTTTGTTCATTGACATTGTGCTTTTGTGGAGATTCCGTTTCAAGAGTATGCAAAGATTGAGAGCGGGCTTGAAGGATTCTTGTGCACAGGGCCGGCGCTGAGGGGGGTGTAGGGGTGGGGTGGAACACCCCCAGTCATCAGGTAGTCGGCAAAATATTGAATCCCAGTCGGCAAAACATGGATTTCGATTGGAATGGTCAATTAAAGCTGAATCGGCCCGATTAATCGTTTCAGTTGTTAGACTTGGATCAAGTCCGTCTCTAGATTCTAGAGTCCGAATCGTGAAGCAACCCCCGGACTCTTGAGAGACGGACTTGATCCAAGTCTATCGTTGTGTGTAAACGTACCTTTTCAGTCTAACTCGCCTTTTGCGGTATTGTAAGTTCGATGAAAGCTTATTATTACATAAAGTATAGTGCTTTATAGAGATTTCGAGCACTGATAAAACTGATAATCTCACATTATTTATGATAATCTCACATGTGAAAATGATCGTTTTTCAATTATCGCTTTTCTGTAAAAATTATCGCTTTTCAAAGATTGTCCTTTATATAATAAACAGAAATACATGGGTGCTTGGAAATACTAGATTTATTTCTCATGATGCGAACGAGTGAGATATCATGTTCAACACTCGAAATAAATCTGGTATTTTCGCGCACCCATGTATTATTCTCTATTTATTATTATTTCATCTCTGAAAGGCACATGCAACCAATATCCAAGAACTAAAAATATTTCCTTGTCATTTGTAGGCCATGGAATACTTGAAGTAGAACATGTCATCATAGTTTTCGCAAGTGCCGTATGTCTAGTGACTGTCTTGACTCTGTGTGGCTGGTGTCGGAAACTCTTCCAGAAATCAAGTGGCAACAAGAATGGGAGTTACGACGACAACGTAGTGGACAGTCTCAAACACGAGACGCCGACAAGCCGTATCGCGTCCCGACTTTCGTCTCCTCTGAGTCATTCATCCTCTGACGACAGCCTTACGCGTATCACATCCCCCGGTCATGGACGAAGAACGATCCGTTTCCCAAGCCCCCCTGAAGTCGGCGTGGATGTCTTGCAAATCCAACCTGAGAAACATTCCCCGGATGACGTCATCATCCCGCCCGAACCCGCACTGCCAGATCCCACCCGCAAGGAGTATTTAGGCCAAATTATTTTCTCACTAAAATACGATTCGCAATCTATGACGTTAGGCCTGAAGATTATGAAAGCCACTAAATTACCGGCAAAAGACTTTAGCGGAACAAGTGACCCGTTTGTAAAGATATGTTTGTTACCGGATAAAAAACACAAAATGGAAACGAGAGTTAAAAGAAAGAATTTGAATCCCGTTTGGAATGAGTATTTTATGTTTGAAGGATTTCCACACAGTAAACTTATGCAGAGGACGTTGTGTTTACAAGTGTTGGATTACGATAGATTTTCAAGGAATGATCCGATAGGAGATGTGAGGTTGCCTTTAGAGAATTTGAATTTGGGACCTGAGCCAATCGTATTGTCTAAAGAGTTACAGCCTTCGTCTAAAGCTGTGAGTACTGCTAAGTTCTTTTTTATGAATGTCTGGAACAACGAGTAGAATAAGATAGAGTTAGTTGAATATATAGATGAGCGGATCATATATGAAGATTAGACATATGATGATAGAAGATTATACATGCTATATAAAACAAAGGATTATAGATGATAGAATATAAATGATAGAGGAATGTCTGTAGATGATGAAGAATGAATAAACTGTAAATAATACATCATTAGACTCCTTACTAAACAATGGATTCCTCTCTTCTTTAGGAATATCTTGGAGACTTATTATTATCAATGTCATATCAACCGACAGCAAACAGGATAAACATTCTAGTCATGAAGGCAGCCAGACTTAAAGCTATGGATATAACAGGCAAAACAGGTAAGATTTTAAACACCTTCTTCTACCATTATTAATATGGTTTGCGTGTGAAACTTGCATGCATGGGACCAATTTTTCAGACATTCCTGTAAAGGTATGGCCTTTGGTGGAACTTCAAAGAGAAAGATGTAAAAACTATACAATGTAAAATATTCTTTCTTAGTATAAAGTTAGTATAGTACATTTCCCCCAAACCAAAAGTGGATAAGAAAGCCTTCAAGTTTACAGGAACTTTGTATTCCCTAGGTAGGAGATAAACCTTAATGAAAGATGTAAAAACTAATATAAAATATACTTTCTTAGTATAAAGTTAGTTTAGTAGATTTCCACCAAACCAAGTGAAGTGGATAAGAAAGCCTTCAAGTTTACAGGACTTTTGTACTCCCTAGCTAGGAGATAAACCATTATTGAAAAATTAAAACCAAATATAAAATATTCTTCCTTCAGATCCGTACGTAAAAATCTACTTCATGCAAGGAGGGAAACGTATTGAGAAGAAGAAAACGACGATCAAGAAACGCATCCGAGATCCAGTTTGGAATGAATCCTTCATCTTCAATGTGACAGTAGAGAAACTGCGAGACACTAGCTTCAATTTCATCGTCATGGATTACGACAGGATCACGCAAAATGAAGCGATTGGTCAAGTGACTTTGAGTTATAGATCGTCAGGCGCGTCACTACAACATTGGACGGAAATGATGAACAATCCCCGTCGACCTATTGCAAAATGGCATAAGATACAAGAGGTCTAGGGAAATATTCTCGTTCCTCAGGATATTTTCATTCATTTGCACGGCATTGGTAATATAAATTAAATTAGTTAAGGTACTTTTATCATTTATAGACCCGGAGCGAGGGGGATTCGGCGAAATATTTCCCGAAGGAAATATCATCACTTCGGGAAATATTTCGCCGAATCCCCCGAGCGGAGGGTCTATATAAATGATATATTATACCGAAAATTAAAAGCCTCCAAGTTGAGAAATAAAAACTTGACACATACCTTCGTGAATACGATGGTTTAGTTTCGGATTAACGCAAGTATCGTCGCTTTTCTTTCGAATCAGATATCGTTTGGAATATTAATGACAACATTTTTCAAAATTTATTCCAAAATTTTGAAAAAGCCCCAGGTTTTACAGTCATTTACCCAGATTATTCATCACTCATCAATACTATTTATACTTTGTCGGCCATGTTGTTGTCATGCGTGTTGTCTCGCGTGGTCTATGCGAATCATATTCACCGGTGAATTTGACTCATATTCACCGGTGAATATGACTGAAATTTCCTGCTGCACCAAATACGAATGACGTAAGCGCGATACGATGATAAATTTCATGCTCACGTGGTACAAATCTAGCTTCCTGATTGGACAATTTAAATTTGAGGTATAATATAAGGTTAAACATTTTGCTCAGGCAAAAATCGTTTCAAAAAAGCAATGAATGATTCCAGGAAAAGACGAAATTTTGATCTAGCCAAGAAGAACGAAATCCATTACCATAGCTGGAAAGAGCATCTTAATACAAGAAGAACGAAATCCATTACCATAGCTGGAAAGAGCATCTTAAAATTAGTACAACTGCAAAGTTTGCTTGCGAATTGACCATTTGCGCAATAGACTAAATTTTGAACTAAACAAGTCTAGACAAACATTTCATCACAACTTGAAGGAGCATCACAAAATTAGTAATATTCCAAAGTTTCGTTGCGAAATGTTGTAAAATGCGGAAAATATAGCCTTGCGAAATTTTTCAATTTTCAGTCATTTTGTATTACAAACGGGAAATTGACAGCCCCAAACCCTTCGAGGCTGTCAATTTCCGGTTTGTAATCTAAAATGACTGAAAATTGCAAATTTCGCAAGGCTATATTTTACAACATTTTGCAACGAAACTTTGGAATATTACTAATTTTGTGATGCTCTTTCAAGCTGTAATGAAGTTTTTGTTGAGATCAAAATTTAGTCTATTACGCAAATGGTCAATTGTGGTAAAATGAGTAAAATATAGCCCTGTGAAGTTTGCAAATTCTGTATATCAATTTTGAGCCGAAAGTGTTTTTTTTTTATAAATACATATATTCATATTTGGGTAATACAAATATTTACAAAATTTGCACAGCGCTATATTTTCTTCATTTTACAACACTTATAGCAACCAATCGTTGCAGTTTTACTCATTCTAAGACGCTCTATCTAGCTGTGGTGTTGGATTTCGTTCTTCTGTTGCCTTGATCAAAATTTAGTCTACAGCTGGAATCCCCCATTGATCTATATTTAATTGACACGGCCATATACGTTGTTCCAATGGCGTCTCCTTTCGCTTAGTGTAAATAAAGTCAGACGATACGGTTCAAAGACAAGAATCTTAGAAACATGTGTGGGAAATATCATAAAATTACTTATAGTAAAATTCCTAGATCCATAGTGGAATTAATATGGGATAGATAATATTGTGCTTAATTATTACACATATACAATCGTATAGGGTTATTATGCGCGTGAAATAGAAATACTGCATTTAGTAATTTTCATGTGTTTTATGTAAATAAATTATTAGTGAATGAAAAAATGAACATATAACTGTCTGTTTTATTATTATGTTATACATTGTCCTAAAAAAATAAGGAGGCAAATTCGATTGTAAAATCCATTAAATCAATACATATACTATATATTTCATATCTATTGACGTACGTACTGTACGGCATATAAAAAATGTATAAATATGTATGATTCATGCACCTATGACACCAGTAAACACGAAGCTCTGGGAAGATGGTCTGTGACTGGTTGATAATGACAAAAGACGTAATGGCATTACATAAACAAAAGGAATTTTGTTCTTGCTTCGTTCTTTAGAAAACCCATTCTATTGCTTATTCTTTTGTCATTGTCATAATCAACCAATCACAGAACATCTTCCTAGAGCTTCGTGCCGACCCTATAAATTGGACATATAGTATTTAATGACAATGTACGCCAAAGAGATATTTTTGAATGCAGTAAATTTAGAAATTATCTTTGAATGTGTAATTAAATATTATTATTTAAGTCGAATCGTCATTTTATGTTCAATTTGATATGACTTTGCATTGCTAGTACTGTATAGGGACGAGTAGCTGAAGATCTCTAGTAGACTGGACAGCACTCATGTCTTTATTTTGAGTTTCTCGCTGTCTGAGTTTACGAAATAAGCGAGAAACGGGTTTCTCATACTGAAGTCACAGAATACTATACAGAAGTCCACCTCCATTGTTTTTTGCGTAACGCATGATTCGTCACTCAGCAAGTACCGTAAACAGAAGCAGCCCCCCTGGAAATACTCAAAATGGCGCACGTCCAGGGGGGTGACTGCTTCTGTTTACGGTACTTTCTGAGTGACGAATCATGACGAATCAACAATCTTGTAGCAAGTTGTCAACAAGTCGTTGACAACTTGTCAACAAGCTGGGAACAAGCAGTGCGAACACATCCTGTTCATAAGTTGTTGGAACAGCATTGCTACAAGTCTGCTGCAGGTTTGTTACAACTTGTGCGTTTTTACGTGTGTACCTCAGGTGCAAAATAGACCTTATGCATAATGACGTCACAAGGCTTGATGCCCGCGAGGAATGCTGGTCTTAGTAGTTATCGCCCAGGAAAATTAAACAATTCAAAATGGCCACTATCGAAATTTTCCCGGGCGATGACTACTAAGACCAGTATTCCTCGCGGGCATCAAGCCTTGTGACGTCATTATGCATAAGGTCTACTGGTTATAACGTCACGTGCGTTTCACGTGTGGACAGTAGCTTCACAAAGCCGTTTTGCCACACATTCACTGTTATAAAATAGCACCATATATACAGTGTTTAAAAGGCACCAACATCCATACCCCGCCATTATAAACTTACATTACGGCGTACCTTTACGACGTTGGGATTTCATCAAACTGTCCAGAATTTTGAAAAGGTGTTGCTGGTTGGTTAACACTGCCATATTTCCCTGCAGTTCTCAGAAATGGCGGCAACAGAAGTCGTTTTGATTGGCTACTGGTGGCAGTACTCTCCCCTGATTGGTCGAACTGGCTCTGTTCGCTGGTGTGAGGGTAAAAGCGCGACCTGAAACCCTGAATTAGAAATTATGAATGAGAAAACTCGATTTTGTATTATTACACTTCGTTTGCTCGCACTAGCAGTGCTAAACTGTCCTCCCTAGAGGTTCAGCAAGGATCATCCTTTATATTGATCCAGTGTTACTACAGGAGGAAACCTAAACAAAACTAACTTTATTTATACTGGATAGTTCTATCAGTTCTAAACTGTTCTCCCTAGAGATCCAGTAAGGATCATCTCTTATTGATCCAGTGTTACTACAGGAGCAAACCTAAACAAAACTAACTTTATTTATACTGGATAGCTTTGAGTTCTAAACTGTTCTTCCTAGAGGTCCAGTAAGAGTCATCTCTTATTGACCCAGTGTTACTACAGGAAGTAACCTAAACTAAACTAACTTTATTTATACTGGATAGCTTTCAGTTCTAAACTGTTTTTCCTAGAAATCTAGTAAATGTCTTTATTTATTGATCCAGTGTTAATACGGGAGGAAACCTAAACTAAACTAAACTAACTTCATTTATACTGGGTAGCTCTATCAGTTCTAAACTGTTCTTCCTAGAGGTCTAGTAAAGTTCATTTCTTGTTGGTCCAGTGTCACTACAGGAGGAAACGTAAACTAAACCAACTTTATTTGTACTGAATTCCTCTATCAGTTCTAAACTGTTCTCCCTAGAGGTCTAGTAAGGATCATCTCTTATTGATCCAGTGTTACTACAGGAGGAAACCTAAACTAAACTAACTTTATTTCTACTGGATAGCTCTATCAGTTCTAAACTGTTCTCCCTAGAGGTCTAGTAAGGATCATATTTTATTGATCCAGTGTTACTATAGGAGGAGACATAAAGCTAAACTTCATTTATAGTCGATAGCAGTATGTCTTAATCCATTATTAGTACAGAATTACTAAAGAAAACATCAACTGAACTAAACAAGCACTAAATATAACTCAGAAAATATACTTTACTATACAAGCACTACTGAATATGAAATTCAACCAAAACATACCGAAGGAGTCCTGACCACAAGAGATGCGACAGACTCGTGTGAAAAACTGTTGTCTTCGATCGCAAATAAGGCTGCCATTGCCCATATAGGGAGAAGCCATCGAGTTATCTGAATGTTCAATGTGGAATAAATTAGAAAACTTATTTGAATAGAGTTCATCAGTGATCTGGATCTGATAGATCTAAAAAACACCTCAATAAAGATGGGGTCGCCGCAATCGGGAAAACCTGTGGACAATTCCCTGGTCACAGAAAAAAGACATACAGAAGCTGGACTCGAGTAACCGCTGCCACGCCATGATTCGTCATCAAAATGCTGACGCCATGATCTTAGTCAGTGCGCTTACACAGAATAAAGACATACAGAAGTGTAACTTCCATTACAAAACCGTAAGGCCTTTTTTACCGAAATAGCTGGCGGCCATGTTCTTAGCAAGTGCCCTAAAGAGAGGCATTCACCCCCCTGGAATATTAAATTTTC